TATGTATGTATATATATATATATATATAATATATACATATATATATACAACATAGGTTATACCAATACTGATCTCATCTAAAACGTGTGACAGATAGTACAAGTAATCCCATGTTTGCATTATCCAGGGTCCACTACAAACACCGATGTAAGTGCAGGTGCTTCTGCTATTCATGTGCATGCATGTGTGTGTGTGTGTGTGCAGTTGTGATGTGCGCTTACTACTCCACCGCCCTCTATACGCCCGACAGTCGGATTTCCAGGATTAGCAACGTCCACACTAGGTGGTGCCACTAGCACCGTGTTGGCCGTGTGACGTGTACGTGTTGTGTGCAGTGCTTCGTGTTGTGCTCCTGGCACCGCCGTAGATCTGCTGAACTCACGAATATGGAGAGATTTGTCATGCAGACGCCTGCACCGCATACTACCTACTATTGTTTCTGTGTTTATTGTGGAACCACTTGATAGAAGGTCTGCGAACATTGAATTTCGGCATTAAGGTCAGGTATCGACTCGTGTGCTACACGACTCAAATCCCTGATATTCTAACGGCGCACCGAAATGGCTCAATCGGGTAGCATTCATATTGTCGCTTGTTACTCTTCTCTTAGTTCCTTCTCTCCTCGTGGAGAATAGGGTTGGAATGCATTGCACTGTCGCTTGTAATGGTAACCACACGGTAAATGCTCCGGATTGTATGGGATAGATGCCGGGCGGCAAACACTAACATATCGAGTATGAATGCGTTGACAACGCGCGCGCGTACATAGGACGTGGCTTTTGTTGTGCCTTGCGTGCGGGGGTATGTTGTGAAATACGACCGTTGATGTGTGTGTCTGCGTTTAGTGTGCGTTGCTGTGTTAGACGTGTAGGACCAGATGACCATCATGTAGTGACCACACCTGTGATACTGGTGTTGTGTCGATCAGCACTAGCTGATTTGCACAGCACACGCGTTAAAGATTAGCCTACCTCATGAACTGCTTGCCAACATATGCGTGGCAGCGGTGGCAGGCAGTGACGTCGAACTATGTGGTTGAAGTGGTGGCTTAGCGTTTCTTACAGACATGTCTGTATGTATGTTCATACTGTTGCTGATGGTGTCTGTGTGAACAGTGCATGGAACATGTAGTGATCGTGTGAGCACTTGCAATTTTACTGTATTAGGCACATGAATTATGTTAATTTGGCTAGTGTATAATATCAAATAGCTGCCGTCTGTAAATCTATTCTTTTATTGACTGCACCACTTTGGTGAGTTAGATAATATATTCATATAGCATGTATAGTGTGATATTGTATTAAATTCGTAGCGAGTTTGTGTACATTTTTTGAAGTTTTGCATATAGAGAAATTGTGCTGTTTTGTGGTGATGACAATTTTATCCTGGCGCTGTGCCATTGCCACAGAAAACAAGTTTCATATTAATAAATTTTAGCTTTACTGTTCATTTGTTTTTTCTTTTCAATGCAGCAAGCCATCTGGAGTATGTCTACTATCCTAAATGGAGCTTGCTTATTGTTACGCAGAAGGCAGAAAGGTTCGATATGATATGACTACTAGGCACTTTAATTTAATTTAATTTTTTTTTTTTAGGGTTAGGTTTAGGGTTGTTTTTTTTTAAGTGCCTAGTAGTCATATCCTAAGTGCCTAGTAGTCATATAATATCGCACCTATCTGCCGGGTGCTATTGTTACGCCAGATGGCATCCATGCTATTTTAATGTTAAAGCTATTATGTATTATAGGCGGTGCAACTTTAATTTGTTTGACAGCTGACCCTATCACTTGCTGTGTAATAAATTATATGATTAAAAATCATAACAAAATATCTATTATGAACAACTACTACAGCTGTACTAGACAAATTTAATCTTTATGTTTACTTTACATTCTATTTCAACAATAATTACAAATTATATATTATTTATATGCATAGAATCCAATTACAAAATAAAAGAACATCACAATATGAACACAATTGCCATCTCAACGAATTTCAGCATTGCTACGCAGCATAACGTAATCACATTGATTGCTTTTTAAATTGTAATCCACTTCAAACAGCCCTAACATTTCTAAATTACACACGCCTCGACGACTGTCTCTAACCGGTGCTGGCACCTGGTGGCGGAACGATATCGTACGTTGTTCGCTCTGGCTCGGGCAAATTTCGCAAGTGTTCAAGCAGCCAGTCGCTCTGCGAAACAGAAAACCATCAAAGCATTTTGTTCAGAGTGACCACAGCACGCAATACCGATTACCCATAGTAGCACATCCACCCACAAACGCAGATCGCAATCAGTAACACGTAAACCACCCCCGTCTAGCGCCGCGTGGAGGCGGACGCCACCTACCGCACACTCACCGTCGCAAACCACCAGGAGTTTGGGCGGTAGATAAGACTGGACAGCCAACTCATCTCGGTTGCCGGGACGATCACGTGCAGATGCAGGTGCTGGACAACGTTAAACGGAGGCCAGTGAAAACCCATCCTGAAAAACGGAAGGGTGAGAGAGATGGACGTGGCAGAGGCTGAGTACTGCATGCCGAATCTACGTTAGCGGCCACCTCTACAGAAAGGACACCTGTCTATTAAGGACACTTTTGGCATCTGGCCTCAATATACAGGTTTGACTGCATAAGCAACAATGCGTGCAACCTATTGTTCATATACCCTCTCGATTCCAGTCGAATATATAGGCAAACATTGACACAACAGTCACATGCACATAGAGGTTCTGCAATATCTGCAAAAAGTTTTGGATGGAGGTAACTCATCAAAAACGTGACCGTTTCGTAAAGACTATACATAGCTGCTGCAAATCTCTCCTGCAACTAGAGAGCTACGGAGATGTGTTTTATAGTGCATTTTATATTTCAAAAACTTTAAATGTACATAATACAACTATTTCATTTATCACAATCAATATTACAGATTTCGGATCAATGATAGTTTGGGACCCCCCGCGATGTTTTTGTATATGTGCTACACTAATCTTGGATGCTAAACTAGGCTTGGACCCAGATTTCTAGCTATGTGGAGTTCTGGGCCAAACCGAGAATGCCTGAGAACAGATAAATGTCCGACTTCGCTTCTTCAATACCACAGAGATGTTCATTGCTCGACATCAACAACGTCTACTGCTGAACGGCTGCAAGTAGATGTAGCGCACTCACTCACCTGCGGTTCTTGCTCTCCTTGCTGCATCCCTGCTGCTCTAGCACCTTCTCCGCCACCGCCAACATCCGTTCCACTGCGAGAAAGAAAGCAGAGGTAATGTTACTACATCCCTAATAGGCCAGAATCGACCGATTCATGAAATTGCCAGACATTGGATTAGGCTAGGCCTATTACTACCCATTAATCCTTAACTCTAACTCCCTGCTCGTTTTACATTTTACACTCTGTAAGCTCGGGGCATGAAGCCATGAAGGTTATCGTAACCAAAGCTGAGATTAGTTCATCTTTCGCTCTAACAGTATTACAGCTACACGTGCTATTCGAATCATGAGAAGATCGAGTGAGGTGCTATTGTTAATACGCACCCAATGGTACATTTTCTCTGGTGAGCAACTTTGGGTCGCGGATGTGATTTTTCGGGCAGATCAGGTAGTGGTGTTTCGTTGCTGGACGAATGTCTGGAAATACGACAAACTCCTCATCCTGAAACAGATCGTAAAGCTAATGCTGTACGTCACAAATCACGCAATTAACATTAATTGGGTGGGATCGTGGATCAATCATCATCACACGACATGAGTGACTATGAAACCGAGTCATTGAGTGTTGTTATGTTATGTTCTCGTACTTGTCGGTGTCCACTGCACTGGATATAATGACAAGGTAGTAAGTGCCTTCAGGGATAAACCCAATAAACAAACAGCGGGTGCATAATAATGTTAGAAACTTAGTCACTTAGTCAGTTAGTGGCATCGTGCCACTTAGTCTTTGGTCGAGTACTGCCACTGCTGGCACTGGCAGTGGTACTGGTAGTGACTAGTAGTGGTACTGACCACAGGCACTTGGAGCGTTTCAATAAAATATAATGCTAAATAAATACGAAATCTATTTACTACCAGTCTTAATGTTTCTCTACTCTCTTTCACCTATTATTGCTGACAATTTCCTGTAAATGCCGTCCAAATGCTCATCTGCAACACACGCTGGCTGCCGCACGCTAGCTGCTGCACACTGACACATAAATATTAGTGGTGTTCCGATTAATCGAGTTCGTCGATCATTACTCGTTTGGGCTGCCGAGTTAATTAATCGAGTAGAAAATCGGACGACCGAGTACAACTCAGCCTTTTTTTTTTTAACTTTTTTTTCAGAATGTTACATAAACAGTTTGTAAGTACATACCTATACATATACCACTTCGTGGTACATAGACTTGTGAACATTAGTCTTGCTATTAGGGATCATATTATATCAAGAGCATACATAAAGAAGGAGAGCGTACAATGGTGAAATGGTGAAACCATGTTGCAGTATTAGTCGAATTAAGAAACTTTTCCCATTTTATTTTGACGATTCTTTGCAGTATTCTTGATCAGCTGTCCTACCTTGTTAATATAAACCAAACCGCTTGTCCCTACGATGCTCCTACGCTGAGATAATGAGCGGTGAAAATCTGGTATTTCAGTGAAAAAAATGTCATCGATAGCATAGAGACATCTCTCTTGTGTAATGGATATGAGTTTGATTGAATTTGATGAGCAGTTATGTCGCAATGCCCTTTAGAGTGTTACCCATCCGTAACCCTAACAGTATCTTAATTTACTTACCATTAAATACTAGCTACACATACAATAATGTCAATATTCCTTCGCAATACACCGGTTGTGTCAATGATGACGCGGCGTCACCGCAATCTAAAATGATCGATGATTAATCGATCATCGGTCGTTTTGTAAAACCGATGATCGATCATGAAATTTGGACTGATCTCCAACACTAATAAATATATAGCAGGTAGGAAAGCGTGCTGCCAAAATTCGCTCGACGCTCGCTTGATTTCACACAAATACAACACAAACACTCAACCATTCTACTCCATCTTTGTTTCTATTTGAAGAACAGTGTTCACTTGTTATAAAAATATATTGTCTGTGTTCGTAACCGAGCTGTGTCACGCGAAATCACGCAAAGCCTGACGAAATTGTGGCGTTCGCTCCTGTTGCGCAGTTTATGTAAATGGCTGCAAGTACAGGGCTATAGGCGGCGCACTGCATTTTGGAAAACTACCATGCTGCTTTCCAACTCCCGTACAAGCCTCGTCAAAGCCGCCAGTGGAGCGTTTCGATAATGCGGTGCAAAAATGAGGTCACAAAGAGCGCTGGTGGATGTTTCCTGATTCCGACAGCCATTTACATAAACTGCGCAATGGGAGCGAACGCAAGAATTTCGTCAGGCTCTGTGTGATTTCGCGTGAAACAGCTCCGAACACAGACAGTATGTTTTTATAACAAGTGAACACTGCCCTTCAAATAGAAACAAAGATGGAGTACGAATAGAACGGTTGAATGTTTGTGTTGTATTTGTGTGAAATCAAGCGAGCGTCAAGCGAATTTTGGCAGCACGCTTTCCTACCTGCTATATATTTATGTGTCAGTGTGCAGCAGCTAGCGTGTGGCAACCAGCGTGTGTTGCAGATAAGCATTTGGACGGCATTTACAGGAAATTGTCGGCAATAATAGGTGAAAGAGAGTAGAGAAACATTAAGACTTTGGTAGTAAATTAATAAATAGATTTCGTATTTATTTAGCATTATATTTTATTGAAACGCTCCAAGTGCGGCTGTAGTGTAGGCTGTGCCTGTGCATGTGGCTGTGGTACTGACTACTCAGTCTACTGCCAGTTACTGCCAGTTACTAAGTGCCAGTACTGTAGGCCTACACGTAACACTGTACAGTGTACTCAGTAGGTACTGTACTGGCACTGCCTGGTTGATTTTACGATAAAATAAAAAACCGGTTTAGTGCCGATTAACGGATTAGGTTTAACGGTTACGTCTAAATGCCACGCGACTTATAGCATTATTACTGCATACCTCATACGTCAATTTTGTCTTTTCGTCGACCCCTAGAGCAATTTTGCAGAATATACATTGACTAGCCATTCCGTGTTTGCTGTTTACATAGTAATTGGTGGCGCCCTCTGACGTCGATGGATGCTCACTTGTTATCGGATAAGTTGTTGTTCGTCGGCTTTCAGTTTGAGTTGTAAAATATTATAAATGGTAAGTAATAAACCTTGGTAAGTACATGGTGCACATTTAGACATAGTTTTTCCTTTCCTACTCGAATTTACGTTGTGACTTAGCAAAAGAATTGTTGCTGTTAGGCTGTAACTGTGTAATATCATAAATATGTGGACACCAGGACAGTACTCGTAGCTGGTGACGTAATCATAATGTACTGTTTGTAAATTGTGCTGTATAATAATTTGTGTCATTAATCAATGTCAGTGATAATGTATGTTGAGGCATGGTCTTAGCCATGTTTAGCTCTAGCCTCTAGTACCACAGGCACTTGAAGCGTATCAACTGTAAACACACGGCGCCGCCATTGCGCGTACACTAACACATAATAATAGAGTTATGTGTTATTAAATAAATTATTATGTGTTAGTGTACGCGCAATGGCGGCGCCGTGTGTTTACAGTTGATACGCTTCAAGTGCCTGTGTCTAGTACTATAGCCCGCGTACAGTTGCCGCTGGGCTAGCCTATAGCATCAGCCATTACGAATGCTCGGGACCAACTAGCTCCAAGAAATGGTATTGCTTGGGTTAGAATACCGTATAGACTACTGTAGTGTATAGACAATCCGTCGCACAGCCTGGTCGGGCTAGGTACCAACTTACTCCAGCCAGTCAGCGGGAACTATGTATTTCCGCACGTGGAGGGGTGGGCGGGTTGTGTTGGTTGGGGACAAAAACATTGTTGTTGTTGTCAAGTAGCAAATTAATAATAGTAATTTGTTCATCTTTCATGACAAAACTAATATTACAATCTTTTTTGATCGCTTAATTTGTTACTTGACAACAACAATGTTTTTGTCCACAACCAACCAAACCCGCCCACCCCTCCACGTGCGGAAATACATAGTTCTCGCTCACTGGCGCTGCTGGCCTGCTGCAGCGGCGCCAAAAATGGCCGTTTGAAGTTCGCAAATCGAATGTTCGTTCACCAGAAATACTGCAAGTAGACCATTGCAACGATAGTTAGAGGTTAAATTTTAGTAGCGGTTATAACTTAAGGCATATTCACTTCGGATAAGAGGCATTAATTGCCTACCACAGACGTTTTATAGCCGGAAGTACGCGTGACTAAGTTGGTCCTGCGCATCCCTAATGGCTGATGCTATAGCCCAGCGGCAACTGTACGCGGGCTATAGTACTAGAGCTAAGCCATGTTGTGCCCAAACTTGGAATCTTGCACAAACTTGGAATTACAGCGCATCCGCAGTTTGGGCAACCAATCTTGAGATTGGGCAAACAGAGGTAAACAGAGCTTGCACAAACATATGATTATTAGGATTTCAAATGTTATATCATAACTATAAGGTCGAATACCTTCTTTCCGAGCAATGTGTTTGGCACCTTTGTATAAATACGGTATTAAATGATTATGATAAATAATTGGATTATATGGAATATTAAAATAATTGGATAAATATGAGATAAATTTCTTCCTAGTTTGCACCACGCACACCACACACTCGCTATGAGCGGTTGTTGAATCATGCACCGACTGTTTTCAGTTTGCCAAATCTTGAGATTGGTCAGCCAAACTAGGGAATCCGCAGTTTGGGCAGCACAATCGCTGCACAATCTCGAGATTGTGCAGATTCCAAGTTTGGGTACGACAGCCACACACAATCTACCTTGTCGCTTCTCACTACGTAGCGAGAAGTAGTACGACGTGAATCAGTCGTAGAGTCTGGTCCAGGGAAAAATTTTTATTTTTCGGGGGCTACTTTTGGGCATTTCCGGGGCTCTTTTTGGCATTTCGGGGGCTAAATCGTCCCGAGCCCCCGTGTATTTTTTTCACTGGTCTGGTCGGACTAGTTGAGGCGCAGGGAAAATTGAGGACTAACAGTCCGTAGTAGTGGAACGTACCCCCAAGTAATGGAGTATTAATAACAAAGCACAAAGACTGAAAGAGGAAATATCTTTTAATAATTTGATCAGCATAATTATTAAAACGCCACCACACTCTAACACATACAATATCATGGAGAAGTTGGACAGGAGTTAAAGGGGTAGAGCGCAAACAGTATATAGATCTGTGAACGACGTAGCTCCTGAATTCAAATTTTGTCTTCCTCGCTTCTCTCTAGGACTGCTATGACTGATAGCTCCAACTTTTCTAACGACGGATTCCAAGCAGAAGAGGGAGCCACCCGTCTGATACCTGACGACCAGGGATCAGAGCGAACGACCCCTGACCCCACGCGACACCCTGACGTCATCGCCGCCGAAGCCATGAACCAGAACGTGTATCACGACACCGTCGACTACGGCGCCATGTCGTGGACCGGCGACACCCAGCAAGAGGACGCCACCGTCGCCGCCGCGCCGCGCGAGATGGCGGCTCCCGCGATGCCGGCGCGGCGCAACGTTGGGGAGGACGGCGGCGGCGGCGGTCGCGAGGCGGAGGAGGAGGAGGTGGAGGAGGAGGAAGAGCTGAAATATGGCGCCGCTCACGTCATCATGCTCTTCAAGCCCGTCACCATCTGCATGCTCGTCGTCATAGCAACGATCAGCAGCGTGACGTACTACACGGAGAAGACCGGCTACCTGATCTACACGCCGTTCCACGAGGAGACGGACGACCCCGGCTCGAAGGCGTGGCAGTCGATCGCAAACGCGCTCATCTTCATGGGCTTCATCGTCGTCATGACGATGGTGCTCATCGCGCTGTACAAGTACCGCTGCTACCGCGTCATTCACGGCTGGCTGATCCTCTCCTCGCTGCTCCTGCTCTTCCTCTTCTCCTACATCTACCTCGGCGAAGTCCTCGTCGCCTACAACGTCCCGATGGACTACTTCACCGTCGGCTTTGTCATGTGGAACTTCGGCGTCGTCGGCATGGTCTGCATCCACTGGAAGGGTCCGCTGAAGCTGCAGCAGGCCTACCTGATCGTCGTCAGCGCGCTCATGGCGCTCATCTTCATCAAGTTCCTGCCCGACTGGACGACGTGGGTTCTCCTCGGCGTCATCTCCGTCTGGGACCTCGTCGCCGTGCTCTGCCCGAAGGGACCGCTGCGCGTGCTCGTCGAGACGGCGCAGGAGCGCAACGAGCCGCTCTTCCCCGCTCTCATCTACTCGTCGGCGATGATGTGGGGCGTGACGATGGCGGACGACGTGCCGCGCTGCGACGGCGGCGACGCAGGGGGGTTCTCCGAGCGGTGGGAGGGCGAGGCGGAGGCGCGGCGCGGCGAGAGGGAGCGCCGGCGGCAGGAGCGGCTGAGCAGCAGCGGCAGCTCAGGGCAGCAGGCGCGCAACGCGGTACGGGTGCTTAACGCGACGCAGGTAGATGCTGGTTCTGCTGCTGCTTATACGTGCTCTTCTGTGTTTGTGCACGTGTAGTCGTGCGTGTGCATGCGTGTGTGGTTGTGCATTCGTGTGTGTGTGCATGTGGTCGTGCGTGTGTGTGTGTGTGTGGTTGTGCATGCGTGTGTGTGTGTCTGTGTGTGTGTGTGGTTTTGCGTGCGTGTGTGCATGTTTGTTCGTGTGTCTGCGAGCGTGCGTGTGACTGTGTTTGCGTGTACATGTGCGTTCGTGCATGTATGTGTCTGTGCATGCGTGCGCGGGCGTGCATGTGTCTGAACATGCGTGTTTATGCTGGTGTGTCTGTGTTTGTATGCACGCATGTGTTTTGGCGTGTGTACATGTGTGTTTGCATTTGTGCATGGGTGTGCATGTGCGTGTGGGTTTATGCATACATGTGTGTGAGTGCACGTGCATGCGTGGATGCGTATTTTTACCGTTTTTGTCAGATTGCTGTTTATGTGTGTGTTAACTATGTTTAGTCTAACCACCTCGTTACAGCGATGTATCGTGATATATATCGATAATCAATGTTTACGATGATATATCGATAGACGATGATAAAGTACTAGTAGGACATGGTAGTCTATGAGGAATACTTTTATATGCACCTAACTATAGATAGATAGAGAGTAGATGTTAAATAAGTCATTTGTATTAATGTTGTTACGCCACTTTCATCGTTACAGCTAAGCTGCTTGATTTTGTTTGTTTGTAAGAGTTCTGCTTGTGTTTCGTGTCTTACTGGTGCTCTCGCCATTTTGCTGTCTGTGCAGTCATAATCAGGAGCATGTACGAACTCATGCTAGTTTACTACAAGTACTCCTAATTCAGATGTATCCCTATGTGTAGTGCTACATGTAGTTCTTTGGGGGTAGTTATCTTTAACCTTCATCTATCATAAATCTGAATAGGTGCCAGTGAAATCTTTTGCCCCCTCTTATGTTGCCCTCACTAACACACTACTCTAATTAGATAACAATGTAAATATGTGTGCCACTACACTCTACAGTTCTCCATGCCAGTCAATCAACAGTGTAAGAATAGGTGGCACCACAACACTCCATGCCAGTCAACCAACAGTGTACACATAGGTGGCACTACAGTTCTCCATGCCAGTCAACGAACAGTGTACACATAGGTGGCACTACAGTTCTCCATGCTAGCCAGACGAGAGCGCGAACGACGAGGTCGAATGCAATGTATACGCATTCATAATAGCAATAGATATATGATGACGTTTGTCCTAACCTTCTCGCCCGCGTCTCTCTCTCTTCGCAGCCCGAGCGTTCGCGGAGGGCGCCGGCGGACGCGTCGTCGGCCTCGGCAGACGACGAGGAACGCGGCGTGAAGCTCGGCCTCGGCGACTTCATCTTCTACAGCGTGCTCGTCGGCAAGGCGTCGTCGTACGGCGACTGGAACACGACGATCGCGTGCTTCGTCGCGATCCTCATCGGTCTGTGCCTCACCCTGCTGCTGCTCGCCATCTACCGCAAGGCGCTGCCCGCGCTGCCCATCTCCATCACGTTCGGACTGACGTTCTACTTCACGACATCGCTCATCGTGCAGCCGTTCGCCGACCGACTCGCCGTCGAGCAGGCCTACATATAGGGGGCGCCGCGGCGCGCGCGTCGAGCAGGCCTACATCTAGGGGGCGCCGCGGGGCGCACGTCGAGCGTCGAGCAGGCCTACATCTAGGGGGCGCCGCGGGGCGCACGTCGAGCAGGCCTACAT